ACCAAGGCTTGGCTTGTTCACGCGCTCGATCGTGGCTTGTGTGAGAACGTCAAGTGTGCTTAATTCATAAGTAGCTCCGAAGTTGCTGAATGCACGTCTGAGAGTCACCCACCCGCGTTAAAAATGCACTTCAACGAGCACCAAAGGCGACGTCAAGCACTTTTCTGAATGCAGCTCGACAAAACCTTTGCCTTCCTGTTCCTCCAAGGGTCTGTCCTATCGTTGCTACTTTTCGAAAAAATTTTACGCCCCCCCCCCCCCAACGTGGATTTGATTCGCCCCCCCTTCCCTACCCCCCCCATCTCCATCTTCCATCAAATCCCGCCCACTTTCCCTCCAAAAATGCCGTCGAGCGGGGGGGGGGGGGGAATTTTTCCTGCGCGCCCTCCACTCGCACAGCCTACTACCCACGAAATCTTAGTTTCACCTCAATCCCACACGTGATTTCGAGCAACTAAAGTGGGTACGACCCCCCCTCCTACAAACTCAACCAGGTACGACCCCCCCCCCCCCCCTTGTTACTCGTAACAACGTAGGGTTGACCCTGGTCCTCCTCGTACTGCTGGGGACGGTTGGAAGGATGCAGTATTTACAAGTAAAAATGAAGGATAAAAAAAGCATAAAGGATAAAGCATTTGCCGTTGATCAATCCCTTTATGGGATGCGACACACATTCCACTTCCATTTGTACATTCGTAGTGGCATTTGAATGCGATGTTGGCCTATACAATGACTTGCGGGGGCTAGCCGATCTACAAGTCAGGGTTTTTATCCTCCCAGACAGGTCTGGTACCAATTACCCGACCCCGGAGGGATGGAAGGCTTGGTTGGCCCGGCGACTCACCACCCGGATTTGATCCCCCCCCCCCCCCCCCCCCCCCCCCCCCCCCCCCCCCCCCCCCCCCCCCCCCCCCCCCCCCCCCCCCCCCCCCCCCCCCCCCCCCCCCCCCCCCCCCCCCCCCCCCCCCCCCCCCCCCCCCCCCCCCCCCCCCCCCCCCCCCCCCCCCCCCCCCCCCCCCACCCCCCCCCTTCACACTACACCACCCCCCCTCCCCAAATGACATAGTGATTATCAAATCACACAACAGAAATCCGCATAGTCACTAAGTTCATGAACAAGGCATGGCGCTTCCCAAAAGGGACTGATCAACCGACTGCTTACTATGCTTTATGGGTAAGCTGTACTCTCACTATCTGTCAAGCACCCCCACCGAGACTGGACTTGTTCCTAGTCCTGGCTGGAGCAGGGTCGGTCCTATCGTTGCTACTTTTCAAAAAGTTTTTACGACCCCCCTCCCTCATGAAATGTTTCATACGACCCCCTCTTTCAAAACAATTTTTACCCCAAAAAATTACCGTCGAGCGGGGGGGGGGGGTATATACTTACCGTAAAATTCAAATTTCCCTGTATTTTCCCGTATTTCAACTTGCTTACCCATTTTCTAGGGATTGTATATAGCGCGCGCTGAAACGGCAAATTTTCTCCCGCGCCGCTCCCCACTCACATGCAACTTCTTACAACCGAAGCAAGTACGACCCCCCCTCTACAAACTCATCAAAATACGACCCCCCGTTGCTACTTGTAGCAACATAGGGTTGACCCTGCATGGAGTGTATTTTTTGCAAAAGCCTTGAGACTGTTGTGGCTCTTGGGTTTCTTCACGTTTTGGCTTCCTTGTTTCTCACATTCCGTAGACCACTACAGCGTTGTCTGGGATGCAAGTCTTCAGGAATTTCGCACAATCGGAGCTGTCGGCTCAGCCGAAATTTCCACCAGTAAAGCAACAGAAAAAAGCATGTTTCTCAGCTGCGCTTTTGAAGCCACAAGAAGATGGCACATGAACTTTATTCGACTAACCGGAAGAAAGTACGGTAATCAAATCTTGGCTTGAGGCTTCAAAACTAAACCTGAGAAGATTGCCACACATGATGCCAAAATTCTCTGAACGTCGAACTCGTGTGCTACTCAAGAATAGTAGTTGCTCCAATCTGAATTACGGTAGGCATCTTCGAGCTCGACGGCAATAGCGGACGATTGCGTATCCTAATGGTAAGAGCATCATCAATGGACTCACTTTTGCTCTTGGAGGGACATTTTTAGGAATTCTCTTACGCGAGGGCGAGCCAAACTATGTTGAGCAATAAGTACAAAAGCTTTTTTCTGGCTCACCAGTACGTCGTTTGAACGTGCATCTCACGAGCAGCTAATGGGAAGCATTCCCTTCCCTCTAAGGGTCGCGACTTGTGGTTATTTGCAGCTGGTTCTGCACTCTGCGCTTCTACGCGCCCTTCCACCACATTCGTCGGGCTGCGCCTCCTCATGCCGCCTCGAAGTTTCTAGCCATAACCTCGCACAATGCTCAAGAAGCGGCAAAAAGGAAGTTTAAATTGGGGGAGGGGGGCGCTTTTCAGAGTTTATTTATTTATTTAGTACATGTACACTACGTACATGAAACAAACTAGAGCAAAAGCCAGTCTGAAAAACAAACATCAATGATGATATCAACAAATTTGTTTCTGCTTTGTCTTCAGTAAGTCAATCAGCACCTACAGTTTCACTTTTGAATCTCAGTAACTGGATTCAGCAGTCAAGGGAGATGCCTTTACCACCTCGATGACAGCATATGTTGGGGATCGGTGACCGCAGGGTGGAAACCCACGTAACCTGAAGAGGAACGCGTGAGCTTCCTAAGCGCGAACCCCTTGAGGGACACAACTCCCAAAACCCTTGAGGCTAAGTGCTTCCATCAACCTCTACTTTACTTGGGCATCCAGCCCTGATCGATACGTGAACTATGACCCTTAGCACATGGCTACACCTACTCCACCACCATCCTTCTGACACAATTGGAAATCAATAAACTGTTAAATACCTTGTAAACTAGGACCACACCTTCCCACTTAGAACACACATAAACGTTATATCTTTATGGACTACTCGTTGTTCACCTAACGTCAGCTAAGTGTACACTTAGAGGTTAGTAAAAAGAGAACTCACGTCGGGTCTCTACCTCGGACCCGTCAGGAGACCAACTGTAGAGGAAGAATTTAGATTCCAGATAGAGGTCCAGAATATAATGTCCAGGTTAGTTCTAAGGGCCCAAAGCCCTGCGGGGCTGCAGTGCGAATGTTGAGAAGACGAGTGGATTGGCCCGTTGAAGAGACAAGAATGGTACCCGGGAGGGATCGTGATGTTGCTGTCGATAACAGCACCGCACGTTGCCGCGCGATCACGAAGACAGTAGATAGTCATGACGGCAACTCGCCCGCAGGCACGCCGCACCCGGGGACAGGGTCAACCCTACGTTGGTACAAGTACCAACGGGGGTCGTACT